GCAATGGAGAATTCTTTGATTTTGATTTGCAATTCTTTGACCAGGTTCAAGTAGGTTGTCATCTTTGAGTCACATGCTTGGAAATTGCCTTGTAGTTGGTTGACCACAAGTTGGGAGTCGGATTTTACCTCTAACCTCCTTACTCCGATTTCTTTGGCTAGGGAGAGTCTAGCGATGAGAGCCTCGTATTCGGCTTCGTTGTTGGTGCACTTGAATCCACATCATATGGTCGCTGGATGATGTCTCCCTCTGGTGTAGTTAGTACTAACCCCAGCCCACTTCCATTCACATTGCTTGAGCCATCCACTGAGAGAGTCCACTTTGAAGGCAAGCCACTGTTCATACATAATAACTCTCTTTCTGCTTGGACGATGGTGTTCGGGGTGAAATCAGCATTTATGAAATTTACGGGGCGTCATAACTATAAGTAATTTTGAAATGATGTGTCTAAGAAATGGAGATTATTTAGTCAATTAATAGGATGTCAATTGCTCCACTCTTGTAGAATAATTTCAATATTACCATTTTAATGCCCAATATCAAAACAAAAGTGTTGTAAGTCTTATTCTAACTTGATGCAAAGTACATTCAGCCCATGTGTTGTATCGGGCTCACAATGCTTTACCCTTTTATTTCAGTTTCATACAGAATTAGGGTGAGTTTGGAGTTGTAATTTCTCTAATAAGCACTTATTTAATAAGCTATGATCTCAAATGTCTTTGCTATCTACATTTTAAAATTGATTATAAGAGAAGTTTATTATTGAATATTCTATTTCATGAAATGATTCTAGAGGCAGATTTTTGTAGCTTTTAGAATTTAAAAGTTGCTTTTGAAAAGTCTATTTAAAAAAAAAAAAAAAACCTTCATATATGTACAAAAAAATTTAAATAAATAATTTAATAATTTATTCATAAATTTAAAATTATTCGAATGGTAGTAGGTTGACAATCAACGGTGGTCAACGTCAATCAACAATACCTATTTTAATAATATATCTTAATAATAACAAAAACATATTTTGCTCTTTTTACAGTCAAAGAGAGTTACTCATAAAGATAAAAGTAAAAAGCATGTTGGCGCTAAAGAGGATTCAGCTGTTACAGTGAATGGTCGTAACATCTCTAGTAAAAAGTCTCTAAAGCAGCAAAGGGGTGATTCTTTTACCGGAGCGGGTCTAATTTTAAGAAGGAGGAGTATCCCTCGCGGTGTTTGTGAGGCTGGCAAGTGAGCCTCATGCTTGGTTATGGTTGTTGCTTGTGTTGGGTTGGCTGGGTGGTTATTTTGGGTGTTGGGTTGGAGAAGGTGCAAGCAAGTGGAGGGGTTGAGGGTTGCTCTGAGATGGGGTAATTGGTAGCGTGTCGAATGCTCCAAATTAATAACCTTACTAACCTAACTACTAAATTGCATATAGGGTGAGCAAGGGTCGATCCCACATGGAATGATTCGATTAAATCCTATACTCTGACCAATAACCACAACGAAAACAATAGAAAAATAAAACAAAATAAAATCATAAACAGTAAACATGACAACAAAATAATGAAAGGGATTGTAGACAATGCAATCTAAAGTGAAATGAATAAATCTCCAATGGTAGAAAATATCAGATTAAAAACAACCAGTTCTCGGTTCAAGATCCACCTAAACATGCATTGGACATGAACTAACCGTAACATTATTCTATCTCGTTATTATGGAATTATTGACCCTAGGAAACAACAAGCTCTGTTACCCTAATTTTTCCTTAATTGTCAGTACTGAAATAAGCTCTTCAATTAGATCGTAACCCTTGAACAACCTAGAATAAGCTCTCTAAGTTTAATTCAATGGTAGCCTTAAGAATTAGGAAAATAGATCAATCCAAGCAACAATCACACAAGATCAGATTATTTAATTTAGGTTATGTTATTCAAGGTGACAGATTGAGAACTTGTCCGTAATCATCTATCATCATGTGTTACTCATTGAATAGAAAAAGGACAATTACGTATCACAATTCCTAATTCTAATAGATAAAATTCCGATTAAATAATTTAGTAGGCCATTACTAAATCACCCAAACCAAAATCATAAACAATTAAAACAGAATAACATAAACAATTCCAATAAGAACGAGATTAAGAACAATGTTACTGAAGTTAAGTTACACCAATGACATGAATTCAGGCTTCAAAATCCCCTTGAATTGAAGAAGAGAGATCAGCCGCACATATTGAAGTAGAAAGTAAAAACTGAAGAAAACCTCCACTGTTGTTCTCCCTGTTTAACCTAACAACTCTTAAATAAATAGCGTGATTTTCCTCAATTCTGCCCTAGGAAAAATGGAAATTACTTTCCTAGACCTTTGCTAAACGATAGACTTCCAAAACTATCAATTCCTTATCAGATATGGAAAACAGAATTTGTAATCCATCTTGCACCAGGATTCTCACATTGTAAAAGAGCTTTTCTGGGCTTGGTCACTTCATAAAATTGTAATCCTGGATGTGTATATGAATTTGGGCTTTTGAATCACCTGATTTCGATATCTAAAGCTCCAGTTAGGCCTATTCAAAGACTCAATACTTAGCCAGGAAATCTTGGATTCCAGGTCCAGTTTTGCAACAACTAATGAGGGCCCAAACGAACTCGAATTCCCATCCATAATACCTTCCTAGAAGGCTTGATTTGTCTTCTTCACTTTTTATGAAGAACACTTTTGCAATCGAGAAATTTGACTCCATGAAAAACCTAAAAAATGCAGCACTGGTTAGAATAATAAAAAATCTAGAATTTCCTAATCTTTTCTCAATTATTTCATAAAGTCTATTCAAATATACCGAACTTACAAAATAAATTCTAATCCACTCAACTAGGCATAAAACATAACAAACAACATAATATGGAAGGAATAAAAAAATACATAAATTACACTCTTATCAGTAATCCATTTTGGTGGGCTAGCTACCTTCTTGTTGTAATGGGTGCTATGTCTCCTGGCTGCTTTCCTGCAGTGGGTGTTTTGATCAAGAATTCATTTTCTTCAAATAGTCATAGTACAATATAAATTCTTTTATTATTATAAGTCATGGGAAGCCATAGCAAAAGCATTAAACTGTTCACTAGGTGTACTACTTTTCTATGGGAGATAAGACATTGGGCATTAGCAAATCTAAAACTTAAACATTTAAAAGGAAGAACAAGAAAAAGAATACAAAAAATAAAAGAAGGAAACACAAGAACTCAACATCTAAAGGACCTAAAGGGCCTAACTCTTCACTAGATTAAAACTTTACTACCCTTAAACTTCCTTTCTCTCTAACCCTTTTTTTCAGTTGTCTCACTACAATCCTCTTCCCTTCTTTTTTACTAGCTAAAATATTGGTCGTCTATTGTTTCTAATTCCACCATTCCATTTTTGTAAAAAATCAAATGAATGAAGAAATGAAATAATAGTAAGCAAATAGCATATTAAGCCTAGAAAAACAGTGGGAAGTAGAGGAGAAATATTCCAGACTAGGAATGTTGCTCTCTGCTGTGTCAACCTATACCTCAAATGTATTCCAATGCAAAGTTGTTACTTATTGGAAATTCGATCTTCGGAATTGTGGTGGTGCCATCGGATTTGGATATTGCTACTAGGTTCGAAGATGGCCTATCTTTTAGCAATCACATAACGGTTATTGATGAGGAGAATGGGTGAGATCGATCTGGTAGCCCTGCCTCTAGAAACGACGGAGATGATGGTGGAGGAATGCAAAATTGCAGTTGGGTAAGGTTAAGGAAGATGAAGAAAGGACCAGGTCCTGCTATCTCGGATCCAAGTCAGGGAAAGCCTAAAATTTGTGTTATTCTTGGTGGGGTAGGCGAAAAGGTGGATCATGAGCTTGCAAAGGGGCCCTTTGTTCCTCTTCAAAGTCTTTGAATGTGGGTGGAGGCTCGTTGGGCTCATCTTACTTTGGGCTGCAAGGTGATGAAACCCATCAATGTGTTTTAAAGATGGCCTGGTGATTGGTTCTGGGCAAAAACGATTGTCTCTGGTAGGAGGTTAATAAATTTTGTTCTCCACCAATGCTGTCCGTTGAGCACACTCGTCTTTCTCTAGAGATTGTCAAGAATCACTCATAGGCAAATGTTTGTTTGATTATTTGACTACAGGATGAGAGATAAATACACCTTTTTTTTTTTTTTTTTTTTTGGAGATAAATAGAAAAAAGAGATTTATTTGAATATTTTCAAATTTCAAAAAACATTACAACGGCAATATTATCTTATTTGATCTTCTCCAATGTTATATTTCTTCAAATCTCTCCAATTCCTCTCTCTCTCAAATCTCTCCCTACTACTTCCAAGGTTCTCAATAAGGAGGCTCTACCTTCAGGGCCACCGAGAATGGCTTGCATCTCTCTCTCTCTCTCTCGCTTCATTGTAATGTGGTTTTTTCAATTAATTAATTAATTGCTTTCTGCAGATGAAAGCTGTTGGAAGAATAGTGGCCAACCTTGTGATCGGAATGTGACGTCATATGTTACTCGTTACAGTGAGATGATTATAAATCCTGATGTAGGATATTCCTAGTGTAAACTTGATGATCGGACAGATGTGGAAAACTCCCCGTAAGATGCTCATCCTGTTTACTGTTCTCCACGAAATGCTGATTATCATGAGGAGCCATTCGATCTCTATGATGCAGTTAACAATCCTCAACCTTAGGACATCCTAAAGATTTTGCCACACCAGGTTTGGGGCGACTACGAATACCCAATGAAGAGTGAACCTGGGAGCTTGATGTTGGAAGATTATCTCAATCATTTTACTTCTACCAGGATCCTGGTACAAAAGCTATAAAAAGGCACTAGCCATCAATAGGCTTGGGGACTGAAATTTATGTTAGTAGTCAAGACCAAGTTGCAGAATGGACGGTTAGTGATTTTGATATTTTAATACCAAAAGAATGAATAGTTAGAGTTTCATTATCAAAATAGTAGGATTCGGAAGTAACATTGTGGCCACATACTTCTCTAGGGCCAGGCTTACAATGCGAAGAAAAACATCCTTTATGTTGCAGATACTGAAAACCATGCTTTGAGGTACGTCACGGGTACAAAACTATCCTTAAATTGTTTTGAAGCCTTTTTAGGCTCTATTTCTGATTTTGTTGTAAGGTGACCTTGTTTTTTTTAATGGCATTGCGTTACATTTAGCATAGTTCCCCAAAACGTTTTTATGGTTTTCTCAGACAGGAAAGAATAGAAAACTATGTTCAAACGTTTTAATTTTAATCCTTAAGATAAGTTCACAAAGGAATTACATTACTAGCATTGTCATCACAATCTTTCATGAAAAGGTTTCAATAGTTTCAATGCATGTATTGTAGGGAGATTGATTTTGTTAATGAAAAGGTGCAAACTCTTGCTGGAAATGGAACCAAAGGCTCTGACTACCAAGGGGGAGATAAGGGAAGCTCTCAGGTAAGATTGGATAACATGAATTAATGATGCATATTCTGGTTGCGTTCTTAGTGTTCTTATAAAGAAATTTGGCCCCTTTATTTACTGAATTGGCATATTTCTTGATATGTAAAAATTTTATTTCATTTGTTTCAGCTCCTCAATTTTCCATGGGATGTCTGTTTTGAGCTAGTAAACGAGAAGGTTTACATTGCAATGGGTGGCCAACATCAGATATGGGAACACAATACAGTTGATGGAGTTACCAAAAGCTTTTAGTGGCGATGGTTATGAAAGGAACTTGAATGGATCAAGGTAATTCAAAGAATCAGTAAAGTGATCAGTTGATTCCCTTTTCTTTTACATGTTCGTACTTCACATATAAAATCTTTTTGGATATTTGTGCTCCAAATTGGAACCTTTAGGTTGATAAGAAAGAAAAAGGTTAAAGGTGATAAAGAAAAGTTTGATCAGTTTGAAGTCCAGGCTGAACTTGGATGAGCTTGTATTGAGAAAGGGTAGAACCTCAGTTCCGATGGCGACTGCCCTGTTAAATGTTAATAGCTCCTGAAAGGTCCTTATAGTTATGTCTGTCTATTTGTTTGCACTCAACAACTACATCTGTGTTATACTAGAGCATTATTTGTCTTAATTTCAATTTTTTATTCATTTATATTTATGTTTTCCACTGGCATGATTCTCCTGGAAATTTGGCATTGATGTACTGATTTTTTGTTGAGGTAGCTCTACAACCACTTCGCTTGCACAACCGTCCAGAATTTCATTATCTCCTGGTAATATATGCTGGGATATTTTGACATATTTCATATTCTCAACCATTTTATAGTAGTCTAAATTTTTCTGTTATCATATCCGAAGTTTCAAATTGATGCTTATTTGTATATTTCACAGAAATTTATGTTGTGGATAGTGAGAGTAGCTTCATATGAGCACTCAGTCAAAAAACAGGAGGATCAAGATTGCTAGTTGGTTGTGATCCTTTTTTGTCAGACAATTTGTTCAAGGTAATTCAATTTAAAAATTAAGAAGCCTGTTTCATCTTGGAAAAATATTTTGGTCTCTAATGATCAATTTTTTTTTTACAGAAATTGGAGAAGACTTACAGTTCATATTTAGTGTATGTCATTTTGTCTTTTTCTCCTAATAGTCTTATAATGTATGATTTACAGTTTGGAGACCATGATGGAACAGGATCTGAAGTTCTTCATCAACACCCACTGGCTGATAAGAAAGAAAAAAGTTAAAAATAAGCACTTAAAAATTAAAGTTCATGTTTGGATAGTCCATCAAATTAAAAAAAAAAAAAAAATCGTCTAATGCAAGAATGTCTAACGCAAGAATGCTCATTAACTTCCATGATATTCAAACAAAATTGAAAAAGAGCATCTGGCCTTGGGGTGCTTTCAAAATCAATATAGAAGTCAAGTTTTGTTTTGCCCATCATGGATGGCTATAAGACTGTTATTGTCTGGGAATTGGAATTGCCTATTCCCTGAATATTCCAATAAAGAACTCTCATTGTGAGGTTTGCGTGGCCAAGTCAACAGATAAGGATCAACTCATTAGAATTTTTTTTTTTTTTTTGGATGTGACCTAGATATGATAACATCAGACCCATTGTTATTAAGATCGGAATTTTGGATAGTTTCGAATACATCTTTGATTTCTAGAAATACTTATTAGAATCTTAGGATTTCAGTGTTCAATTCCGAGGGCATAGATGCTAATCCAAACCTATCAAACGAATTTCCTTTGAGGTGAAGGGACAAACTTAGGTTGGATGAAAGATTATAGAACTAAGGTTGCAATAAACATCCCCTACCCAACGCAAGACTTTCCTTTCCTCTTATCTTACTCGCTATTGAAATGGATCTCTAGAAGATCGAGATACCATGCATTATGTGGCCTCCATTGTTAAGCAAATAATTTTAGGCTTAGATCCTTTAAAAAGCAATGGTCTTCCAATAAGATTGGTCTTAAATGATTCATGTTTCTTCTTGGTTTAGGTTCTCTTGCATCTACAACAAGGGAGTTAAATTTAACGGCTATGAATTATGACAATTAGTTTGTTTTGTGTTAACGGGGCAGCAGGTTCAGAGTTTAATATCTTAGGGTTGTTAGTGGCTATTTCACCCAAGATAGTAGCTACCATTTGAAAGCAAGGAACGGGAACAAATTAAATGACGGAAATAGAAAAACCCTAGTTCAACAATCTTCTAACAGATATCGTAATAATCAATTTAGGGCTATACTTCTACATGAATTGTTGGAATTTTCTCGGTGTCAATCAAAATCTTTTTGGCAATCTTAATTTGTAATTTTTCTCTAAACTACAAGATTTTGTTTATTATTGGTCAAACTAATATTTTCATTTAACTTTTAACTGTGTCATTTTCACATTTTGTAGTTCTTCTAACCTAATCTTCTTTGGGAATTTTGTTATATTCATACTACCATTTATTTGATACTTTCTCAATCATTTCTATTATGAACTAAACCTTGTCTAAGAACTTTTTGCATGTGGAGTACCCTACTCTATATTTTATGAATCTGGTTGCAATTATTCATTTGGACATTGGATGAAATGCATTTAGGTAAGATGAATGATAATTATTTTATGCTATTTTCTTTGAACTTGGGATTAATGGATTAGTAGAAATTGGTTTTTCTCATCATACACCAGTTGACAAGCATAGAGTGATAATGAATAGATGGACTAATAACTGCCCTGATAAATTGAAATTGTAATATTACAAATTGCTCGTGGGAACTAATTTTACATTTTTGTTCCTTTTAGTCAATGATTCTTGGCTTGCCAGTGGGGATCCAACTGAAGCAGGAAACCAAGATGCTGATGGATAATTTTTGAGGTTGATATAACTGGTATGTAAGTACAAAAAAATTTCTACTTTAAATGTGTAAGAGGTTGTTCTTCCCTTGTTGTACACATATTTAGTCACATATTTGGTGCCATAATGGAAAAGATCCCTTTTTTGGAAACCTGAAATGTTTAGCAACCCAGATGTGAGATCGAAGCACCCTATAGTAATAACGTCGATTTCATGTCATTTGTTGGCTGTAGCTGCAAAATCTCTAACCAGATTAAGCTGAATTTCGAGTTAAAAGCTTCATGTGTACAAAATCCATGTAGTGGTCCTAATTTGTCACTACTACATGTATGCTATTTTGTCAATTTTCCAAATCCTTTTAACATACTGTATTGGACCAATACGAATGTTTGATTATTATCTTTTATGTTATTGTCGTGATTGGTAGGGCTATTAAATGATGTGACTTCCTTATATAGTCAATTAAAGATTACATTACTTATCGATTTACATTTGAAAACTTCATTATCAGGGAAGCCCTTGGATCCAAGTAAGGTTTTAGGATACTATCAATTAGCCTGCAGCAAAAGTAGCTCTAAAAAAAAAAATATCAAATAAACAAGGAGGCAAGAATGCCGATCAAATTAAGAATTGATCCATTGTTGTTTTGCTTGTGCTTGGGCAAAAAATCTGAGGCTTTCTTGTGAATTTATCACACATATGACCATGTTTTCTAGAATGATTAACTTCTTATTAATATATCACATTTGAGTGCTCATATGATGTGTTTTAAAATGATTTGTAACATAACATTTCTAGGCTCAATTTTGAAATCATTGACAGGAAAACAACCTGGTTGTACTTGTCGAAGGTGTCGAAATTGCTTGCAAAGGTCTTTGTAGAGCTTGAAAAAAACCTCAAAAGATCAAAGAGTGTTGTGGGTTGTTATCTAACTAGTATATTGTATCCACTAGCTTCCATCTGCATTTGATTCGCATCCAACTTGCTATTTTGTTTTAGCTTAGTACGTCTTGTTGCGTCGTCGACATTTTTGAAGTCCTCCGGAGCTTCAATGAATGCTTTGTTTTTCAAAAAATTTGCTACGCTCAATTGCTATACTACATTAAAAAAAAAAAAAAAAAAAAAAAAAAAAAAAAAAAAACCCTTCATATATGTACAAAAAAATTTAAATAAATAATTTAATAATTTATTCATAAATTTAAAATTATTCGAATGTTAATAGGTTGACAATCAATGGTGGTCAACGTCAATCAACAATACCTATTTTAATAATATATCTTAATAATAACAAAACATATTTTGCTCTTTTTACAGTCAAAGGGAGTTACTCGTAAAGATAAAAGTAAAAAACATATTGGCGCTAAAGAGGATTCAGCTGTTACCTTGAATGGTAGTAACATCTCTAGTAAAAAGTCTCTAAAGCAGCAAAGGGGTGATTCTTCTACTGGAGTTGGTCTGATTTTAAGAAGGAGTATCCCTCATGGTGTTTGTGTGGTTGGCGAGTGAGCCTCATGCTTGGTTGTGGTTGTTGCTTGTGTTGGGTTGGCTGGGTGGTTATTTTGGGTGTTGGGCTGGAAAAGGTGCAAGCAGGTGGAGGGGTTGAGGGTTGCTTTGAGATGGGGTAATCCATTTTGGTAGGTTGGCTACTTTCTTTTTGCAGTGGGTGCTGTGTCTCCTGGCTGCTTTCTTGCTGTGGGTGCTTTGATCAAGAATTCGTTTTCTTCAAATAGTCATAGTACAATATAAATTCTTTTATTATTATAAGTCATGGGAAGCCATAGCAAAAGCATTAAACTGGTCACTAGGTGTACTACTTTTCTATGGGAGATAAGACATTTGGCATTACCAAATTAAATCTTAAACATTAAAAAGGAAGAACAAGAAAAATAATACAAAAAATAAAAGAAGGAAACACAACTTAACATCTAAAGGGCCTAAAGGGCCTAACTCATCACTAGATTAAAACTTTACTACCCTTAAACTTCCTTTCTCTCTAGCCCTTTTTTCAGTTGTCTCACTACAATCCTCTTCCCTTCTCTTCTACTAGCTAAAATATTAGTCGTCTATTGCTTCTAATTCCACCATTCCATTTCGGTAAAAAATCAAATGAATGAAGAAATGAAATAATAGTAAGCAAATAGCATATTAAGCCTAGAAAAACATCGAGAAGTAGAGGAGAAATATTCCATATTAGGAATGTTGCTCTCTGTTGCGTCAGCCTATACCTCAAATGTATTCCAATGCAAAGTTGTTACTTATTGTAAATCTGATCTTTGGAATTGTGGTGGTGCCGTCGGATTTGGATTTTGCTACTAGGTTCGAAGATGGCCTAACTTTTAGCAGCCACGTAACGGTTTTTGATGAGGAGAATAGGCGAGATCGATCTGGTAGCCCTCATTCTAGAAAAGTCGGAGATGATGATGGAGGAATGCAAAATTAGGGTTGGGTAAGGTTGAGGAAGATGAAGAAAGGACCAGGTCCTGCTATCTCACATCCAAGTCAGGGAAAGCCTAAAATTTTTAGGCCGAGGTGTGTTATTCTTGGTGGGCTAGGTGAAAAGGTGGATCACGAGCTTGCAAAGAGACCCTTTGTTGCTCTTCAAAGTCTTTGGATGTGGGTGGAGGCTCATTGGGCTCATCTTACTTTTGAGCTGGAAGGTGATGAAACGCATCAATGTGTTTTAAAGATGGCCTGGTGATTGGTTTTGGGCAAAAAGGATTGTCTCTGGCAGGGGGTTAATAAATCTGGTTCTCCACCAATGCTGTCTGTTGAGTACACTCGTCTTTCTCTGGAGATTGTCAAGAATCACTCATGGGCAAATGTTTCTTTGATTATTTGACTACAGGATGACAGATAAATACACTTTTTTTGGAAATAAATAGAAATAGGAGATTTATTTGAATATTTTCAAATTTCAAAAACATTACAACGGCCATATTATCTTATTTGATCTTCTCCAATATTATATTTCTTCAAATCTCTCCAATTCCTCTCTCTCTCAAATCTCTCCTTACTGCTTCAAAGGTTCTCAATAAGGAGGCTCCGCCTTCAGGGCCACCGAGAATGGCTTGCATATCTCTGTGTCTGTCTCTCTCTTCCGTTTCATTGTAATGTGGTTTTTACAATTAATTAATTAATTGTTTTTCACAGACAGAAGCTGTTGGAAGAACAGTGGCCAGCCTTGTGATCGGAATGTGACGTCATATGTTACTCGTTACAGTGAGGTGATTATAAATCCTGAAGTAGGATATTCCTAGTGCAAACCTGATGATCGGATAGATGTGGAAAACTTCCCGTATGATGCTCATAATGTTTACTGTTCTCTAGGAAATGCTGAGTATCATGAAGAGCCATTCAATCTCTATGATGCATTTAGCAATCCTCAACCTCAGGAAATCCTAAAGATTCTGCCACACCAGGTTTGGGGCGACTACGAATACCCAACGAAGAGTGAACCTGGGAGCTTGATGTTGGAAGATTATCTCAATCACTTTACTTCTACAAGGATCCTGGTACAGAAGCTGTAAAGAGGCACCGGCCATCAATAGGCTTGGGGACTGAAATTTATGTTAGTAGTCAACATCAAGTTGCAGAATAGACGGTTAGTGATTTTGATATTTTAATATTGAAAGAATGAACAGTTAAAGTTTCATTGTCAAATTAGTAGGATTTGGAAGTTTTTTTTTTTTTTTTGGTTGTTAAACATTTTATAGCAATAGGGAAATTAATAGCGATATTGCTGCTCTGATTTTCTCTAGAATTTTAGTCTTCAGAAATGATGATAAAAGATGAAAAAGTTTTGGTGCAGGAAAGTGGAGACATTTGGTTGATTGGTTAATCAAAGAGAAGTTTTGTGTTGATTTTCTATGTATAGAGAGATTGTTGAGGAATGATTATGTGTGGCACGTGGAATGAGGTTTCAGATCAAACGGTGTGGTGTGCAGTTGAGCACTAATTTGTGTGGGATACACGTGTCCAGTGCACACGTGCACTACTTAAATTAAACGTTTCCGAGCTCAAGATATTCATTTCCTCGCTTGTAAATCAATCAAAATCGTCTTCTTTTTTGGATTATCACGTTTTCAAAACAACTTTACCCTTTTTCCGTTCCTCACTTTCTTATTCTTTTGTGGGTATAAATTCCCCACAATGTGAATAAGCAATCAACTCTCATCCTCTTGTACCCCTCTCTAACGGCTACATTTCTCTCTCCTCCCCTCTTCCTGTCTCCGACGCTCTCAATCTCAGCAATCTTGCCCAAACTAACAAACCCTACTCTCTCTTCTCTCTCTGTAGTTTACTGATTATCGAAATGAAGCGCTTCATGCAGCCAAGAAACACAATCTTGAGAGAGACCCACTCATGTGAGTCGCCATTTTCATCGTCTCCAAACCCCAATTCAAAATTAAAGTCATTGCGGAAGCAAAGATCATCCAAAGAAAACGCTCCACCGTCAGATCTGAACTCACTTCTTCCACCTTCTCCGGCATCTTCCAAGATTAAGAGTCCGTTGCCCCCATGCCCGTCCAATCTATTCAAGCGCAAGCTCGCCACTGATACACTACCCGAGAACGTAATGGTTTGGGTCCCCGACTCAGGTGTTCAAGTAATTATATCGATCTTCTTCTTTTCAGTGGTTATTTGATATATCAATTGGTGAGGAGCCTTCCAGAAGGGCTGGTGTCTATGTTTTTGCCGAAATGGGAGATGAAGTTACAGTGGAGGACTTTGTCCCTTTCATGGGTACTGGTAAGAGCTTAGTCACTAATTACTTTTGCATTTTAGCAATTTATTTGATAAAGTGATTCAATGTGTAATCCTTTTGTAGTATTTTATTGAATGACGATCTATTTGATTTTGGCTAAATTGATTATTAATTGTTAACTTCAATTGCATGGCTATGATATTGATGTGCAATTGAAGAATTATAATGGGCTGTGTTTAATGGCTTGGAGCTCACATTAATATGAACATGGTTTCTCTGTTTATGAAACAAAAGGAGGTGGATAACTTGTTATAATTGAGTGAGGAAGCAAAGGTGATGTGGGATTGATATTACTTTCAAAGATACAGCTTTCTAATATAAAGAGAACTAATTTATGTTTGAATGTGATGGATCATTCTATTATTGTATTAAATTGGAGTTTTGATATGTAATTTTAGCTTCAATGTAATAGGCGAGGCAAACTTCGTAGGGGGCGAAGCTTCTGTTAAAGGAGTGAAGGGATTTGATCCTGAGGCGGCCAAAAAGAGGTTCTTTGAGATATATCTTGAGAAGGTCATTAACCTGTTACTAAACCACATATTGCAATGAAAACCTCTGATTTCGTTCAATGCTTGCAGTATCTAAAACCATATTTAGGAATAGGATTTCTCAGAGCTCTTAAACTGATTAATCAGGTATGGAAGCTAAATAATTTCAAATGTCATTTTCCTAATTACTTGTTGCTACAATTAAAGATTGGCTAATGACATGTTGCTGTAAAAGCAAAGGCCTAAAAGTTGGTGTTGCATCTAGTGCTGATCGCATCAAGGTTGACGCAAATTTAGCTGCTGCTGGTTTACCAATATCAATGTAAGCTGCTGGTTTACCAATATCAATGTAACTGATCTTGTCGTGGGCTAAGTTTCTCAAGTTTATAGAACACACTTGACTATTTACCTCAATCTCATAGTTTTTAGTGGTTTGCATTTGGCTGTGGATCACTGAAACTCCCGCTTGCTATGATTGTTGTGTTGCCATGATCAATATTGTGACCTTCACATTTACTCAAACTCAAACCACTAGGACTATATCGAAAATATACTTGAGCAATATTTGGGTGGTGGGAATCAACCTCTATGGCCAAGGTTTACTTTACTGTTATCCTCTTGTTGTCAGGTTTGATGCTATTGTGTCAGCATATGCTTTTGAAAATTAGAAGTCTGCTCCTAATTATATAAATATGGACTTTTATTGAATTCTGTGGAGCTTCTTTTGTATCTGCGCTTATTTGTCAAGTTGGTGGTGCACCATGTGGCCACCTCATTGCCTTGCATGGACTCAAAACTTTGACCGTTTACTATTACATTAAAGAAAAAGGAATTTTATTGAATATTTGGTGAACAATGTTGTTGGTTGGTCGCAAAAAGTGTCTAGCGCACACAAGAGATTTAGGGACAATCTGAATCTCTGTGTCTTTTATTTTTCTATCAATTTACAACCTCAGCCAGTAACATTTGAATGTTTAAAATTTTACTACTTAGCTCCTTTTCTCTTTTAATTCTAGAAAGAAAGAAATATTATCTGTCCCATTAGCATGTGTCTTGTTTAACAGTAATCTACACAGTGGCTCTGAATTTCATTTTTCAAAGTGTATATCCTTAGTCCATACTAATTTCAAAATACTGAATGTTAGTACGAACAGTGTCAACCTGTGTTGGATTGATTCAATTGTTGCCCGTCTCTTATAAATGTTATTGTTAGTCTATTGTTCACTGTAACATTGATTTCTTTCTTGGCATCTTCAGCTTGACCAGGGAATGTTGTACACTATCATACAAATGTCTTTAATAGATGTCACATTCAATTGTTGGAGAAATAGCATTCTCGCAAAGGTATTCAAGTGCTACAAATTAACCTTTACCAACACATTTAGTGATGATACCTTAGGGGGGGAATTTCAATTGACTCTTATGTTTTAGGATCTGCCAACTTTAAAATTTTGATGTCTGTGCGAGCATGTTAATGTATTCACAGTTTATTACTTGAAAAGTTAGATGACTTGATGAAAACAGAAATAAACATTTGTGTATGTTTTGAATTATATTCTTTTGAAATATGAGGCAGATTACACTGACATGATGGATATAACTTTTTAAATGGGTCACCAAATTGTTATAACTGAGATTTAAGCGATGGGGTATTGTTCCCTTCGCCTTCTTTGTAGTTTGAATATGTTTTATTCTTTTGTTATTTTTATGTTTTATGTGAATATGACCAATTTCTCTGCTCTTGCATCTGTCCTGATATCCCTAAATATATATTTGCTAGGTCAAAATGCGAGAGATAGTTGTTGATCTAGTGTACATTTTATTTCCAAGGTTAAGTGTAATGCATAATTTTTCTTGAATTGTGGTTGGCCATCCTGTCTTCACTAATTTTAGCTATGGCCATATTTGTGCAAATTTTGATATGTTTTCTAATTAAAAAAACTAGTTCTGTGAGTGATTAGTGTGCAAGCTATTGGCGTCTACTGATGATTATAGTATATATAAATATGAATAAGCAATTTTATGTGAATTCTAATTGTTATATAAGGGATATAAAATTGCTAACATTTTATTTTGTCATAGCATTTATATAATAAAAAGTATATGCTTTATAATGTTGATAAACTGTGATTTATGAGTGAGAGAAATGACTGTCATTCTGCCAAGGTTTATAATGGAAAAGAAGTGAGAAAGAAGCAGGATGATGGCATTTCAAAAGGGAGGTCTAAGCCTTAAATATGTTCAGGTGTTGCGGCTATAGCTTAAATATCATTTACAAATTGTACTTACTATTTGCTTTGTCATCTAGGTAAGCAGCTGGCAGATCCCCAACGAGGTGACAAAATTGAGAAAGAAGCAGGATGATGGCATTTCAAAAGATCATTTAACGTCAGTGCCAAGTACTAACATCACAATTGAAAAAGCATTTGCTCCAACAGCTTTGAGTGCTCCGGCTGTTAACACAGGTGGACATGATGCCACAACTCTGAGAACCTCAGGGCCAGGATCATTATCTACCCTGGATTTGATCAAGAAGAAGCTGCAGGACTCTGGAACACCTGTTACTTCCTTAGCTGCTACAGTTGCATCAGGAACAGTGGCCTCAGAATTAAATGGCTTTGAGTGCTCCGGGTGTTAACACAGGTGGACATGATGCCACAACTCTGAGAACCTCAGGGCCAGGATCATCATCTACCCTGGATTTGATCCAGAAGAAGCTGCAGGACTCTGGAACACCTGTCTCTTCCTTAGCTGCTACAGTTGCATCAGGAACAGTGGCCTCAGAATTAAATGGCTTTAAAGCTGTTGAGGTTCCAGTGAAGGGCTTGCCAAATGAGAACAGCAAAGAAAAGTTAAAAGATGCTAATGGTGACGGTAAACATGTCTGACTCTTCTTCAGAGTCAGAGGATGAAGACAATGGACCATGGAAGGAGGAGTGCATTGCTATATTTAAGGTATCTTTATTGCTCTTATTTTGTTAAAATTTCCCTCAGAATAACGATTTCAGTTGATGTTTTTGACTGTCCTTCCTTTTGGAATTCCAGTGTTTGTCCTATAGATTCATAGATAAATAAAATTTATAATTTTTCTTGTGTTATTTCTTGTACTAGATACGTATATTTTATGAATGATGTTGTCTGCTACTGTTGTTAATATTCTTTTTCGATGCAACTTCAAATGTAGCTTGTGAGAAATGCTAGTTTCATTAACTAATTGTTTAACATGCCAATGAAAATTTCACAGGAAATGCTTAAGGAAAGAGGAGTGGCTCCATTCTCAAAATGGGAGAAGGAACTGCCAAAGATAGTATTTGATCCCCGTTTTAAGGTTTGCCGAGTCTAAAGATTTTGAATATTTTGTTTGAGAATTGGAGGCCTTTTACCACAGGGTGATCTCACACCTTAGTAGATATCTAGTCCACTTTCTACTTCTCTCTTTTGACTAATGTAACTTATTGTTTTATATCAAAAAAGTAATGTTGCATCTTTGGTTAGTAGCTTTGGATGTGATATTAAGAATTTGCCTATAAAATATTTTTGTCTTCCTTTAAGAGGCAATCCTATCAGAGCCGAGTCGAGCTGGACACCTCGGTGTTCCAACTCGGCTTGTGACAAATGTACCGAGCTCAAACTTGAGCTCTAGCTTAGCGAGCTCTAAAAACCCAGGCTCGAACATGCGACTTTAGGTTATTACTTATCGAATAGACTGCTTCTAGGAAACTTAACCCCAAAAGAGAATTTGAAACCCAACTTATTGTTTGGTTTAGTTCTTCATGTTTTAATGTCATGCAACCCAACCTACATGGCTGTTGATTTGTTTGGTCAATGTAAGTTGCTCGTGGGTTGGTTTTTCATGCTTTAATATTACTATGATAATTTTGGCTTATTAGGCTAATGTAAGTTGCTCACTTGTGATGAGTTGACTGTGTTTATATGTGAGGTTTGTTTTGTCTCACCATCAATACTTGTGAAATACTTTTGCTTAAGTTGGTATTTGTTTTTTTTTTTATAGCTCTTAAGTTGGTATATATTGTTCTTGTTGTATCATATGTTAATTTTTGACAACCACGGTATTAATGTTTTCCATAGCATTTTCTACTTCTATCCTTTTTCTATACCCGTGCCTCATGTTTTGGGTATACTTTTTAGTGGTTTAGGCTTATGATCTTTCAGTCTATCTTGTTAAATATGACTAGCCTCGAGATGGTGTGTTTATTATGCATTGAACTTACAAGTTCATTTTATACTGCAAAGCCTTTTCTTCTTTCTTTGTGTCTGTGTTTATTTCAAATTTGATTTCTTTTTCATGCATGCTGCAGTCTATGTATATTGTGCTAGATGGGAATATTTCTCACTCATACTGTGATGACTTTGCTGCTTTGTTGATTGGGAAAGGCATTTTCTTTTTTAGGCCATCCCAGGTCAATCGGGAAAGAGGCCCTTGTTTGAACACCATGTTAAGACACGCGCTAAGGAGGAACATAAGGAAAAATGAGCAGCACAGAAGGCTGCAATAGAGGGATTCAAGCAGTTACTTGAAGAAGCATTAGAGGTTTCAGAGCTTATATTGAATTCAACTGTTTTCTTTTTTTGCTAATGTTTACTTTAATAGCAATTATTACTAAGTTGTATAAATATAAGATTGGGAGCTGGAGGTGGTTTATTGAGCATATTTTCATTTCAGGATATTGACCACAACACTGAAAATCAAACATTCAGAAAGAAATGGGGTAGTGATCCAAGATTTGAGGCATTAGACTGCAAGGATCGAGAACTTTAATTGAACGAAAGGTATCATTTAATGAGGAGAGGTCTTTTTCAGCATCACATGTTTCATCCTTGTTCTTCCGTCGCTCCATCACTGACTCCCACTTCACTCGGATCAAGATCTTCCTCTTCTTCGTCAACGAGAATTATTTGAAACTATTTCCCCCCCCCCCCCCCCCCATTTATGGCTGAAAAAATATTTCTCATCGCACTTGAAGCACAATCCCTTCTCTCTCTTTCATTGGATCTCAGCCTCAGTCATTTTTCGAAACGAAAAATCTCACCGCGACGGAGGAGCTTTGTCAAATGATCGAAAGGTGATGGAAGGATACTCGTGGGGAGAAGAACTTGCTGATGAGCCCAGGGCAGATTTTTTTGCACTTCGTAGCCCAAAAATTGGATGTAGATTGGATTTTAGGGATTCAGTCGAATTTGGGAATTTTTGTGAATCTCCGGGTCAGGTCGAAATCTTGTTAAAGCTCTTGGACCCAATTTACTTGACCCAACATTATACCCAGGCCCATTCCACCTATTACTCCTTGCTAGGCCAGCCTTTACTTCTTCTAAGGCCCAATTGCGCTCCTCCACTCTATGGGCTCTCTCTATTTTTTGAAGAAGTGAAGTGGGTTGGATCAGTCTTAGTTCAACCCGAATTTCTACCTTAAGCCTATTCAGAAATGCAGCGTTTAAGATTTCTTCCTTCACCTCTACCAACAAAACAGTTAACGCTTCAAACCTGCGTCTGTACTCCGCTACTGTGCTGGTTTGTTTCATGGCCATAAGTGTCTCGTAAGGATTGCTCTCTTGAGATCCACTGAATCGTTCAACTAAGGCAACTTTGAACGATGGCCACGAATTCACAGGTGCTCTGACCTCCATCCATTGATACTAGTTAATGGCTTCCGCTTCCATACAAACTGCCAAAGCTGTTAGCTTCCCTTTGTCAGGAATTCCATTCAGACTGAAGTATCTTTCAATTCCAAAAATCCACCCATAAGGATCCTCACCCGCAAAAATGGGTTACTCCAGTTTACGTCCTCCTACCTCACTCTGGTTTTGTCCCAAACTCCCTAATCCTCTCACATTCTTGGATGAAGTCTATTCACCTCGTCCAGCTTCTTCTTCATCTTTTCTTCTCATCCAACTCTGTATTTCAACCATGCATTCGCGAATAGTTCCCATATCAACCCCCAATTTCATCACTTCCTGTTCCACATTTTTTTAGTCTAGATTCCACTCTCATTGCAACCATTACCCACACACCTACTCTTAATCCAATTTGATGTGAACCTACCCAGATTCTTTTACTCAACCACACACAAAATATTAATCACCGGAATATATTCAAACAATTCAATGTAAGCATCAAGAATCACCAGTCTATATAACTACAGTGAGTTGTTAAGCATTACACTCATTCAAATTGATTATATCCCAACATAAGAACAACAAGAAATTAATCAAACAATAATGATGGAAAACTAATACACCGGACTTCGAGGGCCAGCTACCTCCCCTTCACTATATTCTCTTCAGGATACCCTTTCTCCATCTTCTGCTGGTCCTTTTATTCCCCCCCTTTTCCTAACAGAATTCAACAATCCACTATTCTCCTGTCGCCACATGTCCACTCCACTTTTTCCTCTCTTCACATGTTAGTTGCCTTTTTATCACAATTAATCCTCTACTGCTTCTTCCTATGCTTCTTATTATATACTAGCACCTCACGTGTTGTATCAATCTTTAAATGGCTTCTAGTTTCTGATCTCATCTTTGCTGACCAGTATTAAGACTTGTATGAGTGATAAGTTTTCAAAGGTTGACTCTATTGGTAGTAGTGTACATACTAGAAGACTGCTATACTGTTGTGGAGGAGTTTGGTTCATCTCAAACTAATATTGTGCACAACTACATCTCATGCACATGCATTCAACAACTCTAGACATGTTTATGTGTTTACGATATGATCAATTTTTCAAACACTTGGCTGACTATGATTGCTTAGTGAACTTTTCAGACTATGATTAGGTTTTTTATGCTTTGTTTGTTGAGTTGTTAAATCTTGTATAATCTTCCTTTATCATTATTAGAATTTATATTGAACTTGTTTGTAAACACTGTTCTATTGAGTATCTTTCAAAGCAGTATGTGTCAGCAAGGAGTGAGCCAGTGACGAGATTCTGTGATTCGNCAAACTAATATTGTGCACAACTACATCTCATGCACATGCATTCAACAGCTCTAGACATGTTTATATGTTTACGATATGATCAATTTTTCAAACACTTGGCTGACAATGGTTGTTTAGTGAACTTTTCAGACTATGATTAGGTTTTTTATGCTTTGTTTGTTGAGTTGTTAAATCTCGTATAATCTCCCTTTATCATTATTAGAATTTATATTGAACTTGTTTGTAAACACAGAAATTGATTTCTATTGAGTATCTTTCAAAGCAGTATGTGTCAACAAGGAGTAAGCCAGTGATGAGATTCTGTGATTCGCTTTTAGTTTGATTTGTTTCTGGATTAGCATGGTAAATGCTTTTTGGTTATTAATGTGCCAATTTGATCATACTAGTTACACGAGTTTTTTACTTCTTGCAGGGTCCTTCTATTGAAGAGGGCTGTCAAAGAAAAAGCTCAAGCAATACGTGCTGCGGCTGCCTCTAGTTTCAAGTCTATGCTTAAAGAAAAAGGGGATGTAACTGTCAGTTCCCGCTGGTCCAAGGTTTGTTGATGTATGAACATTAGGATAAAAAATACGAGAGACAAGGAAATAGTGAGAATAGGAGGAAATAAAGGGCAATAAATTAGAAGAAGAAGAAATATGACATAACTAGAGGAATTAGGAAGAGAAACAAATAGAATCAGGGAAGAAACTAATATTTCAACAAGTCTTTTTCTAATTGAAAACTAAGACCATATTTACATAGTACCAGTTCTAAGTAGAAATTTGCTTGAAAATATGCTACCTAAAATCTTTCTTAGACAAGAAGCAATCATCTGACTAAGATATTTATATTCCTTGTATAAATGAGTTCTTAAAATTTTACGATCCTACATTTTCCGTCATTGGAGCTATTGCATATGAAGATGTTTTATTTATTTATGTTTAAATTATTACTTCTTTTGGTGTCTCACTTGGAATGTTCTTCAACATATGGCATCAAGACTATTTTAGTGATCAACTCCGAGGGTTTTTATGATGGTTACAACTAGGTTTTATTCCCTAGAAAATAGCCTACCTAATTAAATCTCTAACAATAGAGCGGATGGTCTAAGATTCAATTCCTCTTGCACCAACCTTTGGGAAAGTTTGTTATTTAATGTGATTAATTGAGGTAGAAGCTAGCATTGGATGAAGGAATGGTTCTTTAAGAGTTAATATTTTAGCTCTAAGTGGTGGAAATAGAGTTGTATATGTGTATACTTTAGGTTGGCAAATATGATCACCATATCTTTTGGGATATATTACTTGGTTATGAGGTGGTGGATGGGAAGGTGGTGCTTGTTAGGATCCCACATTGAGAGGGAAAGGGTGGGCATGTGAGTTATAAAGGGTTTGGGCACCCTCCCTTGACAAGCTGATTTTCCAAGGAGATTCTACCCAAGCCCATGAGAAACCCATGACCCTATCCAATTGTTGAGTTATTAGAACGGGTTCCTATCAGGTTATATTTTTAATAAGATGGTTGATCAAGAAATTGCAATTAGAACTTCTTTTTGATGATATTATCCTACCAACTGTTTCAAAGGGGATAGTAATAATTTATACATTCTAGCACAATGAGATGAGATCTATTAAGGATGTGTCATTGCAGATAATGGGAGTTTTCCCTCAGAATATTCATCTGCCATGCCCAAAGAAAGAACAGATAATGGGCCCGTCCAGGTTGTAGGTGCTACCAGTGACAAAGATCTCTCAACTTGGGGTAAGGCAGGTTCTATATCTGCAAAGTTCGAGTGAATCTATATTAAATGTTTCACACTATTCATTATTTTGTGTCATAACTAGTTTTGTAGTTTCCCCCTCTTATCCATTTCTTTAGTTTCTCCCAACATCATGAAAATTGGTTTCCTTTGATATTGCTTTTATTCTGTCTTCTCTTCTAGAGAACTATGTTTAGGAGTGTTAACTTGCATCATTTAAATTGTTTAGCTAGATACTCGGTATGCATAAAATCCCAATGATGAGCAGTTCAATATCTCAGCATAAAAATATTTGTTTCCAAGTTTCATTTTCTGACAATGTAAACAGAGCCTTTTGAGAAAATATTTCAGCTTGAGGTCACAGAATTAATTTATGGACAGGTTGCAAGGTTCTTGGCGAGAAGTACTGAGATATGGAAGTTTGGGAGTTGCTATATCTTGTGTCATATGAAAAATACACAAAGTAGTTGGATTGTTTAAGCAAATAGTACATTTTAAGAAAGAAAATTGAAAAAGTTTTTCTTTTTTCTTAAGGATCTTTATGATTTAGTTGAGGCGGTTCTTCTATTTTATGGGGAGAAGAAATTCCTTGACAGTACATTATCTTATGACTTTGGAGAAAGATAATGATCCTCACTTACTCACATCTCCTTTGAAGTTTCCCAGTAAGCTTGCGATTGATATCCCCAACAATCAGCTCTTCATTTTGGACAGTAACCACAACAGAATAGTAGGTGTTCTTTCTCTCTCTCTCTAAACAAATATACACTTGCAGACTTGTATTTTATATGTATATTTCTCTTGGTAGTCCTCAAAATTTGGTAGTTAGAAGTATCTGAAATGCTAAGAATTTAAGAATTGTTAAATGTTCTCATACTGCAACAATATGCAGCTTCAAATTGTTCTTGCATATTTAAAGCTTGATGATGGTACTTAGATTACGTGTTTGTAAGTACTACTCAATACTCATGATAATCCACCATGTAATGAATAGCATATAATCAATATATATGAATCCAATATTTCCTTATCCAGTAACGAATAGCATGGTTAAATACTTGAATTGTTATTTAACCGTCTTGTCACATCTGGACTTCAGGTGGTAACTGATTATGGGAATTTTATGGTCCAAATCGGTAGCTCAAGAGAGGGAGGTCTACGTGATGGATTCTTCGAGGAGGCCACGACCACCTTTAATCATGCTTAAGTAAGGATTAAGTTAATACCTCCAGTTATAATCAATGTAAATGAATAGAAGCATGCATCAAGCTTTGGTATCTCATGCTTCAATTTTTATGTGGATGAATTAGTACTGAGTAGTAATATTGTGGCCACATGCTTCTCTAGGGCCTGGCTTACAATGCGAAGAAAAACATCCTTTATGTTGAAGATACTGCAAACCATGCTTTGAGGTACGTCGCGGGTTCAAAACTATCCTTAAATTGTTTGAAAGCCTTTTTAGGCTGTATTTCAGATTTTGCTGTAAGGTGACCTTGTTTGTTTTAATGGCATTGTGTTACATTTAGCATAGTTCCCCAAGATGTTTTTATGGTTTTCTTAGACAGAAAAGAATGGAAAACTATGTTCAGACGTTTTGATTTTAATCCTTAAGATAAGGTCACAAAGGAATTACATTACTAGCATTATCTTCATAATCTTTCATGAAAAGGTTTTAATAGTTTCAATGCATGTATTGTAGGGAGATTGATTTTGTTAATGAAAAGGTGCAAACTCTTGCGGAAATGGAACCAAAGGCTTGACTACCAAGGGGGAGACAAGGGAAGCTCTCGGCAAGATTGGATAACATGAATTAATGATGCTATTTTGGTTGCGTTCTTAGTGTTCTTATAAAGAAATTTGGCCCCTTTATTTACTGAATGACATCTTTCTTGATATGTAAAATTTTATTTCATTTTTTTCAGCTCCTCAATTCTCCATGGGATGTCTTTTTGAGCTGTAAAAGAGAAGGTTTACATTGCAATGGTGGCCAACATCAGACTGGGAACACAATACAGTTGATGGAGTTACAAAGCTTTTAGTGGCGATGGTTATGAAAGGAACTTGAATGGATCAAGGTAATTCAAAGAATCAGTAAAGTGATCAGTTGATTCCTTTTTTTTACATTTGTACTTCACATATAAAATCTTTTTGGATATTTGTGCTCCAAATTGGAACCTTTAGGTTGATAAGAAAGAAAAAGTTAAAGGTGATAAAGAAAAGTTTGATCATTTGAAGTAGGCTGAACTGGATGAGTTGTATTGAGAAAGGAGAACCTCAGTTCCGATGGCGACTGCCCTGTTAAATGTTATAGCTCCTGAAAGGTCCTATAGTTATGTCTGTCTTTGTTGCACTCACAACTACATCTGTGTTATACTAGAGCATTATTTGTCTTAATTTCAATTTTTTATTCATTTATATTTAGTTTTCCACTGGATGATTCTCCTGGAAATTTGGCATTGTGTACTGATTTTTTGTTGAGGTAGCTCTACAACACATCTTTGCACAACCGTCGATTTCATTATCTCTGGTAATATATGCTGGATATTTTGACATATTCATATTCTCCACCTTTTATAGTAGTCTAAATTTTCTGTATCATATCGAAGTTTCAAATTGATGCTTATTTGTAATTTCACAGAAATTTATGTTGTGGATAGTGAGAGTGCTCATTGGCAATCAGTCAAAACAGGGGATCAAGATTGCTAGTTGGTGTTGATCCTTTTTTGTCAGACAATTGTTCAAGGTAATTCAATTAAAAATTAAGAAGCCTGTTTCATCTTGGAAAATATTGGTCTAATAATTTTTTTTACAGAAATTGGAAGCTTACAGTTCATATTTAGTTGTTGTCATTTTGTTTTTTCCTAATAGTCTTATAATGTATGATTTACAGTTTGGAGACCATGAGGAACAGGATCTGAAGTTTCTTCAAACACCACTGCTGTCTTTTGTGCGAAGGATGGTCAAATTATTTTGCAGATAGGTGCTCACAAGGTAATTAGCTAATAGATGAAGATATTAAAGATATTTAAATCACTGTACCCTACGACATTTGTTGAATGTTCTGAGATAAATTTAAAGCTTCATGAAGCTCATGATGCATTATGGGGGCTCCTGTTGAGAGTTGACAATAACGATAAAATGAATGTGAATTATCAAAGCAACTTTTGATTTTTATCTCTGTTTGGGTGAAATTTCAGATCAAGAAGCTGGATCCAGCTAGTAAAAGGTCAGTACCCTAGCAGGGACTGGGAAAGTTGGTTCAAGGATGGAACAGCCCTGCAGCTCAGGTTAGAAAAATACTCTGTTCCTTCTCTGAATTCTGCTCATACTGGTGGCTAGAATTCAGTATATGTTGCTTTAGGAATTTTAATTTCAAAAAGAAAAAAAATTGTTTATATGTGTTACATGCATCTACCGTGAGAATTAGTTATACGTTTGTTGAGTCACTATCTACAACAAGTTGCAAATGGAAAGACAATGTTTGTTACCTGCCATAGGAATTTCAGATGCACTGAAAATGAGTTCTTTCATTAGTTCATAATGTATTTCTGAGCCATTTGTGTGACAGATTAAAATGTGAGAATTCATAATCCAAGTACCATCATATTTAAATTTTGTTACAATCTCAATCTCTTGAATTATAATGAAGCTCTTATCCTTTAACAATGAACACAAATAAAGTTGAGGATGTTTATATCACTCTCCAAGTAAACTTCTTCATTATGATGACCTGAAATTTCACTTTTTATGCATTACTTTCTTTCAACTGGAGCCATAGGAATCATCGAAGCAGAGAACGGTCTTCTCTGTTTCATTAGCGCAACAGTTTCAAATTGACTGGAAGTTGTAACTGATGATTGCTTGTGTGCCTTTGCATAGATTATCATAAAGTACTTATTAAAAGTGTTTGGTTCATTTTCAGGAAAGCTTCATAGCTGATACAAACATGTGTCATCAGTACAGACTTGAACAAGAAAGAGCCTGAACTTCTTACTTTAAGCTAAAGGGTTCAGCCTGCTCCTCGCACCCTCTTTGTTGTTGATGGTGGTGTGTCCAATGAAGGCAACCAGTATTAAATTTCTTTGCTGAGGAGTACCTTTTCAAAGGTACAGATGGTTTGTGTCACCAAGGCTTCAACTTTTTCATTTGCTTTTGACTTATAATTCTCTGCTTGATACAAATCAGCAGGACGTGTTGAACCTGAAACCGTGGTGTTGATCCCTGGATGGAAATCTTAGTCCAGAAGGATCAACAAGACTTCACTTTAGGAGACTCTCTCCATCAGCTTCAACAGGTATAATTAGTTGCAAGGTATGCCACTTTTCTGTGCTCCATATTCAAATTGCCCCCACAGTAAAAGTCTTTGAATTGAACTACTTTGACAAGTAAACCATGTGATTGCTGTCTAGTTTATTCCCTAGCTTCAGACCGATACCAAGGGAATAAAGGGGTTTTGTAACCATAAATACAACTGGTTCAGGTTACCCATTTGACCTGCAGGTCATGGTCCTCATAATGTTCTCAATGTATGTTGTTCACTCATTGGACATATTAAAGGTTTTGATGGCACTCTGTTTGAATGAGAATAACACCAAAGTATAGATCTAGGGCCTGAAGTGTAATGGGTTGATTGAAACATCATTTGCATAGTTTAGTCAATTTAAAGTTAAAAATATCAAACAGTGTAGACCAAATTTCTATGTTCAAGATCAAATTGATATTCGGCTATGCAGACTATAATAGCATTAAGATGGCTGCAAAGAGTTTGAATAAATTCCACCACAACTTTGTAGCTTATTAAGTTATTTAGTGGGTGATGATTTGCCATGTTTTACAGGTCTATTACTGTAAAGAAGATGAAGTGTGCCTGTACCAATCCCTTTTGTTTGAAATACCCTTCCACAATGAAGTTCCAGACTCAACCCCAGCAGAAATTACTCTTGCTTATGCCATTTAACCGAAAATTTCAACAACTGGTTTACAGCTTCCAGCTGCAGCCTCCTGAAAGCAACTCCATATAACCACCTTGTAAGCTTCCTGTATAGTTTTTGTTTTACTCACGCTTGTCATATAAAATTGATTCAAGTTGATAAGCCCCACAAGGGGTTTTAAGAGAAGATCCACCAGCTTCTTTTTGACTCTAATTATTGGTGAATCAAATGGAGAATTTGTCATAGTTTATGTGCAAGACAAAGGGCCCACCATGAAACTTTTATTAAGTCTTTTACAACCTGTAATGTGATTAATTAATCATGATCATGAACATGATCATTGTGTTTAGGATAAGCAAAGGGATAGATTACTCGTCAAGGCAGGCAGACACTCACTCCTGCACACTTGTCTTTAATTGGTTAGATAATGACGGTGTTGCTCAATTATATGAAACTTGTGATGGTTTGTTTATTGATTTTATAATGGCAGATTAGCTCCCTATGTGCATAGCACACAAAATATATTAATACATACAATCAATCTGCTTTATCTAAATCATGTGATTAAAGTAGTAGTTGACTGCTTAAAATGAGTTAGTTCCACCAAATCTCTTTGCCTAATTATCTTTGCTGGCAAGAGCCAACATTTCTACCTACATGTTTACTGCACTTTCACTTTCCTAAATTGCCCCATGCTCTTAACTTGTTCTTCGTCTGTTTTTCACTGGTTTAAAAGGAGTTTCTTAAACTATGAACTATAAAATTTAGACTCATGGTTCTGTCTTAGGTTCATTCATTGGTTAAAAAGAGTAGACTCTTAAAGTGTGAACTGTGAATTTAGACTCATAGTTCTGTCATAGGTTCATTCATTGTCATTGCGTAAGTCGTACTTAAATATTGCATGTATTATGGGGTCGATACATGTGTCCAGAGTTTGCATCTTCATCTTACTCTTATGAAAGACAGCAAAGTGTGAACTATAAATTCAAACATATTCTACTGTAAATTCTATTCTTTATTGTTGTGTAAGTCCTACATAAATAGTGCATGTATTATAAGGTTGATACACGTATCTTAGAGTTTACATCTCCATCCCACTATGACGAAAGACAGTTTATTGTCAATTCTAAGGTTATCAATACAAACTTCGTCCTACTCTAATGAAAAGCATTAGGTTGTCAATTTCACATAGATATACATGGATTGTATTGTGAGGTCGATACAGGTCTTTAGAACTGGGTCATGTAATATTAAAGTTTTAATGTTGTGCAATATAATGTAACAAAGACACCCTAAAGGCCAATCTGAAAGCATATATGTCTAAATTAGGTTCAAAGAGTTAATCAAATTCCTATTCCCTTATACGACAATATGATGTGCATCAGCCTGTTGTTATTGTTTATCTGACATCTTATGCATGATAAGCTAATATTATAATTGTTCTATTGCATTTGGAGTTTACCATTTTTGTCTACTACATGATCTGAATGTCTTGAAAACGTTTTTAAACATAGGTGGAACGATTATGGATTTGTTGACCTTAGTGGCCTCTTGAAAGTAATGGCTAGTTATGGAAAAAATGGTATGTGTCTTTATCTAATCGCATTTTTTTTTTCTGTTTTTTTGTTTTGGATATTTACTTACAAGGACGAAAAAGAAAATGATATTCTTTTATTACTAATGCCTAATATTAGTCTAGTGAAACAGTAACATATTAAAAGCTTAGTGCTATCTAGTACTAGTTATCTCATATTTTAGTTGTGTATTGTAATTTCAAGGATGCAAACATTGGTTGATGAAAAATTCTTAGTCACTCATTACTTTGTAGCTTTTGGTTTTATTTGTCTAGCTAAAGAGGAAAAACATTTGATTTTTTAATTTAACTATCTCTAGGAACAATCTTTAGATTTTGCTTCTTGTGGATAATTTGATTTATCATGAAAAATTAAATGTTACAATCGTTAATTGTATCAAAGGATAATTTTTAGAATGCTAAGAACATAGAGATTCAATGTTGGAGTTTTTTTAACTGCACAAAACAAACTTACAAATATAAATAAAGCCCCCAGAACCCTGTTGTATACCAACTCCATCTTGAAATTTGCAGAAGAAAATGTCAAGGCAAATAGTTCGTATGATAAACCCTGCAATCTAGCAGCTAGATCAAATGGGTGGTGCATTGATTCATAAGAATAGATTCGACAATTTGGATAGGGTTTTGGTTGATATACTATAATCATTGTATTGTATAACATGTAGCTTTCTATTGTAACTTGCACTTTAGCCACTAGATCAAGCACTTGTCACCTGGGAATGGTTGTTAGTGATAAAAAACGATTCTTGAAATGACACCCTTAAATGTAACTACTATATCATGTAATGTTTTATTGAAAATCTTGATGGTAAACTTGGTCACAGAGTTTATACATCAAAAAAGGGAAGGCAAAAGGGATTCTAGACTTCAGGTGAAATCTATTCACTTGGAGAATATCTTTCATTGACTTCAAATTTTGAAGTATTTTGAGGTTTTGACTCGTTTTAGTTTTGTATGACACACTTTGATCTTTTTTTTTTTTTTTTTTCTGATAAGCTTTCTGTCAGTTATTCTTGGGAAGTATCATTCTTCAAGTGGACCTAAGACTGAGAGTGAGGACCATTTTAACCTTCAAAGTGAGGAGGAAACAACAGGGCAGATTCTCTAGCATGAAAAATCTACTGCAGGCATTTTTTGTACGCTGAAAACACGTCATGGCTCTCAAGCATCACATCTTCAACTAACCAAGGATGTTCTTGGTATTGTTGCTTCACTTGGCAAAGTTGTGGATGAAAATCTTAACAGTTTGATTGATCATGTATTCAATCTTTTTCTTCATCTTTCTCTGGTGATATTGTGCTTTTTGTATTGGCTTGTTTCTGGTTGCTTTTTCTTGTTTATAATTAACTGATTTTGTTGTTTCCCATCAATAAGGACCTTTTTAAGTTTTGCAAAGGCCAAGAACTTGTTGTATTACATGATTTTCTACAGACAAATATATAATCCATTGAATTTGTTGCCAGTAGATTCATCCTTAAAGCTTGCATGTTGTTGTAGTGTTGTTTGCTCCTGAGTGGTGAGTGAGGTTATGTTGTACATTGTTGCAGAGACGGTTAATGGTTAGAATTCATGTTTAATTTCTAGCTTTTGTATTACTGAAAAGTGTGACAAAGCTAAATGTTTTCACTAATACCCCATGCTTGACATTTTTTCATCTTCTTTAGAGTGTAGGCTTTTCTCTGAGTACTTAGGAATGGACGCTATGTTCGCAATTGTTTGCAAGACTTATGAAGGTGTTAAGGCTCTAGAAACATAAGATAAAGAGGGTTGCATCATTAAAAGTTCTGGTCTTCATGGGCTTGGTGCTTCAATTGGGAGGACTATACATGACCGGTTTCTTGTCATATGTCTTGTAAACTTAAGGCATCAATTCGACTTCTGCTTTCCTTAATTATATAGACTTGTATCCGCAGACATTCTAATTTTTTTTTTTCTTTCTCCAGACCTTATGCCGATGAGTTTGTAGCTGATGATCCACAAAGGAGGCTTGATATTCTAAAGCCAAGATTGCCTATGGGGAGTCTCCGCCTGGCTTTCTTGGCTTCACGGTGAATATGATTGATGTGGAAAGCAAAAACTAGCCAATTTCATTAGCCTCTTTCCGGAGAATTACCATTCAACTTGTCCGGCTTTGAAAGAGATCACAACAAAGCAATGATCCAATTTGGCTGCTTTTTTCATGGTTGAACTTGTAGCTAAAGATCAAGACTAAAAAGAGGTATGTTCTCAACAAAAATTACATTCAATTTTGTTTAATTTAAAAGATTGTTAGCAATTAGGGATGACTCGATGAAGGTAGACCTCTCTGTTAATTATTTTTATTCACCCTTCTTTACTGAATTGAAAAGTTTGTTAATATCGTTTCAGGGTTGATTAGAGTGACAAGTTGAGTTCCTTTACATAACATTCTCCGAAGAAAATGTTCCTGGTAAGTGAATATTCTCACTTTTAATTCTAATTTTACATGTTCAAAATTTTCTTTTATGAAAGTTGAAGTTGTTGATCTGTTGCTGCACATTTATTTATTTATTTATTTATTATACAACAATTCTTTTGTAGAATTTAATATGCACCTTTTATAAGCACTCTCAACACCCCGTTTTTTAAGTGTACTCTGTCACAAATTATTTTTTTATTTAAATTCATCATCAAATTTATTCTTTCTAAAAAAAAAAAAAAACTTGTAACTAATGCAAAATCAATAGATCATAATCTGTAAAGAACACATTGAAAACAAAAGCTTTTTGTTAAAAGTTCCTGCGAAAGTCCTTGGAAGTTCTGTAATTTGTCACATAGCTTACAAGATTTATTTACCTTCTATTTTTTTCTTTAAATCATGTATAAATAAATCAAAACTGTATTGGACAAATATATTGAATCATCTTTAAATTTATGAGAAGAATGGAATACAAATTTACTTTTAAAATTTTAGTTCGAGAGTATACTAAAACAAGAAGTGCTAATAGAATATTTTCAGGTACAGGGTCCTGTAATCTTCCCCTTTAATGATCTTATATTTCCCTTAAGCAATGTTACCGGTGAGTTGGCAGCCCTTGGATTACGCTCCAAGGAATCCAAGGACTGACCATAGTTCAAGAGACCATGATCTGAGGGTTAGCTGCCCCCAGTAAGGTTGTTGGGAATAAGATTGCCTTTTACGTTAACATGGGAGAATTTATATTAATCTAGTTGGTTTTTTTTGCTTGAATAATTTCTTTCTAATCACTACTATCTTGGGAGTTGGGATTAATCTTCACCATGAAATACATGACAAGTTACGCTACACCAAATGTTGAACTATTCCTTTTCAAATTTTATAGGAGAATTTTATATAATTTTTCTCTATCATTCTTTCTTAAACTTTGTTATTGCCTTACTGAAAATTTTGAACTATTTGGGATGGGGTTACTTTCCAAATTTGAGCAAGTTGTAATTTTTTTTTTGGGTAATCACTACTATTCCAGATACCTTGTGGTATAGATTATTTGGACTACCCAAGCCAAACCAGATTGTAGAGAAAGATTTGATAAGTTATAGTTAACAAATTGGGATTTATATATCAACGGATATATTTTCTTCCATTTGAACTGATTTCAAAATTCTTTTAGTGGCTTTGATAGGTGCAATTGCTGTGGCTTGTTAGTAAAAAAAACTCTTTATAATTAGGAACATAAAATCAAAATTCAACCTTTTTCTGTGTTATTACATCCATTTCCCTAAAATTTGATTTGAATACTATTCGGTTCATGTATAAAATAGATTATATTATTAACCAGCTCTCGAAGGAAACAGTGATGGACATTTTGTGTCGTATTATTGACTTTAGAAGGAAAAGGAAACACCTCAGCTCAAAATTTCTTTAAATTGTTAATATGTTGCCATATTAAATTTATCAATTTTTGGGTATGATTCCTTGATTTGATTATAGTATTTTAATTATTTTGTGTTAATTTGTCATAAAATTGAAAATTTTCCAATTGATATTTGCGATGCAGTTGAGATTGATCACGATGGATGGGGTTATTGGAGTTGTTCTTCTATGTACATGTGAAATCTTTGATAATTATCAATTTATCTTTGTTTCAACAACTTGAAATATGTTATAATATAAATTTAATCATGTTATTGTTGTTTATAAAGCACGTAGGTATTAGTTTCTATGGTATCAAGGATCTTTTGGTTAATCATGAAAACATTTAAATTGTATTGGTGATGAGAGTTTAGATGTATTGTTTTGATCAATTAAAAAGAGATTCAATAGCTAATAAAAAGATTGATTCTTTGAGATCGTTATATTCTTCTAATGTAACAAATAGAAATAGAATATATGGATTTCTTAAATGTCTATTTCTATATTCTTCAATGTATTAGTTATTCTTGAAACATGAAAGATATACGCATTTTCTTTCAAAAGAAAATATCAAAAATCATACAAGAACAATATGTTCTTTTTTCTTTGATAAATGATCAAAGCTTCATCTAGTTCAAATTATATGTAGATACATTTATATAATATATATACTTATAAATTATACAAAGCAATATTATAAAAGGATATAAGGTTATGGTTGCTAACCTAATACAAGTTTTAACATTACATATTTATTTATGTAACTTAATATCATGAATATTGGAAAATATTAATTTCACTCACTCTTTATCTTGATCATCTATTTTGGTTTAATCTAATAACATAAATTTGTGTTTAAATCTGTATTAAAAAATAGGAGTTGTAGAATCTTCCCATATATATAGTAATTATTTTTAATTAAATTCTCCCAAATAATTATATTGAAATCTATTAGCTATTATTAAATAATTTTTAAATTATAATTCTAAAAAAAAAAACATATAATTAACAACATTTGAATCATTTACAAACGATTTGGTCACCACCATTCGATCTACTGGTTTCCACTCTACAAAACGTCTTTGGCCTTAGCTCTTGGTAACTCGCTGAACGCCGGCTGAGAAAGTGAAGTGGATTTTGGATATTAACGGAAGAGTTAATGATTTTTTCTCACCCAAAAATGGCGCAATGACACTTTCACCTCCTCAAACTTTTAAAATACCATTATAGTATCCAAAGCAATAATTTTGTTAACAGTTTCCGTCAAAAACAGTGATATTCACTATAAAGACAAAAATACCCTTGATTGTCCGAATTTAATTTTTTTTTATTATTATATGTGAAGTCAATATAGTCAATTACCTATATACCCATCTTTTTATAACGAGAATAATATCCCCAACAATGTGTAAAAATTAGATGACAAATTTGTCCCTAATGTTTGTAATGAATAACTGTTGAGAGTTTGAAATTTTGAGATATGTGCAATTACCATTTTGTCCCTGTAAGTGTTGCAAACTAAGCTAAAATTATATTACATTAATTTTGTCAATAACCCAATAAAGATCCAGATTGAAGAATCACAATGCATTTTACTCAATAGAAAGCAAACGAAATTTGGGATTCCATACAAATCTCTTCAATAATGCACAGTTAAAACCAGCAGTTTTAAAGGGGTAGAACAAAAAGTTGGCAGAAAAACATCATTGACATTGTCAGAATTTTGATTTAATATATATAGAGCAAAATGTGATCAGTAATATATACATAGAGAAAAATGCATTGACTAGGAGCTGTCCTAGGTGACCAAGATGGTAAAACTGCTGCTTCCTGTGATGCAAAAAGTTGAGGATCTCCAAGGTGTGCTATGACCTGAAACAAAATTTTACAATAACCTTCAGCCAAATTAAAAACTAATCAATTCAATACAACAACTCAAAAAGACAGCCAAAAGAAATAGCAACTAATCAATATCACACTGATAGGAAACTTCCATTAGTCAATCAAACCAATGCAGCAATAACAACCAACAGCCAAGAAAACAAGCAAAAAGATGGAGCTCTATTGATATTCAGTAAACAACCAATAATGATGAACAAATTAGCTAGGAAATTGTTCAACACAATAACCAAAATTGACAGCCAAAAGTAGAACAAAAACAATGCCTACAAGTAATCTGTTCTCTCCATCACTTTTTATTTTCTCCAACTCTCTCTATAACCAACAAACATCTTGTGACAATCTCAATTAAAAACCAATCAATATCACACCCAAACGCAACACAACTTCATTAATGTCAATCTAATAGTAGAAGCTACATATTACAAACCTCCCAGCTAGGGCTGATTGGATACCAAGCCCAAAAAATAAAAAATAAAAATTGAACAACCTTAATTACTTATTATTTACAATCACCAAAAAATTAAACAAATCATATGTCTGCATCATCTGATATAATTTAAGAAATCCATAACTTGAAGACAAATGAATGAATAAATTGAATAATGCATATATACTCAAGACCACAAAGATGGGTAAGCGGACAAGGACGGGGAAAATAGAGATGCATTTTATTACCTTCACAAAATCTGTAAGAAATTATACCTTTTTTTTTCATGGAGTAAATCATTACCTAATAAGTTAATTTATCCCCTTTATCTAAAGACCTCCAAAGTTTCACACACATTCTATTAGCCAAAATTGGGATGATTTTTAATAGGAAGTTGACTAGTACAACTAACAGATATGGTGGGATAGAATTCACGTTAGAACTCTTAAGAATAAGCACTTAAAAATTAAAGTAAATGTTTGGATATTCCATCAACTTAAAAAAAAAAAAAAAAATTGTCTCATTAACTCCCACGATATCCGAACAAAATTGAAAAAGAGTGTCCGGTCTTGGAGTGCTTTCAAAATCAATATAGAAGTCAAGTTTTGTTTTGCCCATCATGGATGGCTATAAGACTGTTATTGTCCTGGAGTTGGAATTGCCTATTCCCTGAATATTAACTCTCATTGTGAGGTTTGCGTAGACAGGCCAACAGATAAGGATCAACTCATTACAATTTTTTATTTTTTTGGACGTGACCTAGATATGACAGCATCAGACCCATTGTTATTAAGATCTCGGGATTTTGGACAGTTTCGAATACATCCTTGATTTCTGGAAATACTTTTAGAATCTTAGGATCCCAATGTTCAATACTCAGGGCATAGATGCTAATCCAAACCTATCAAACAAATTTCCTTTGAGGTGAAGGGGTCAAACTTAGGTTGGATGAAAGATTACTGAACTGAGGTTGCAAGAAACATCCCCTCCCCAACGCCAGACTTTCCTTTCCTCTTATCTTACTGGCTATTGAAATGGATGTGACAAAACCTTGTCCAGAGATACCATGCATTTTGTGGCCTCCATTGTTGAGCAAATAATTTAGGCTTAGATCCTTTAAAAAGAAATGGTTTTCCAATAAGATTGGTCTTAAATGATTCATGTTGCTTCTTGGTTTAGGCTCTCTTGCATCTGTAGCAAGGGAGTTAAATTTAACGGTTATGAATTATGACAATTAGTTTATTTTGTGTTAACAAGGCAATAGGTTCAGAGTTTAATATCTTAAGGGTTGTTAGTGGCTATTTCTTCCAAGATAGTAGCTGCCATTTGAAAGCAAGGAAGGGGAACAGATTAAATGAGGAAAATGAGGGAAATAGAAAAACCCTAGTTCAACAATGTTCTAACTGATATTGTAATAATCATTTTAGGGCTATACTTCCACATGAATTGTTGTAATATACTCGGTGTCAATCAAAATCTTTCTGGCTATCTCAATTTATAATTTTTCTCTAAACTACAAGATTTTGTTTATTATTGGTCAAACTAATATTTTCATTTTACTTTCAACTGTGTCATTTTCACATTTTGTAGTTCTTCTATTATTGGGAATTTTGCTATATTCGTACTACCATTTGTTTGATACTTTCTCAATCATTTCTATTATGAACTAAACCTAGCCTGAGAACTTTTTGCATGTGGTATACCCAACTCTGTATTTTATGAATCTGGTTGCAATTATTCATCTGGACATTGGATGAAATGCATTTAGGTAAGACAAATGATAATTGTTATAAGCTATTTTCTTTGAACTTGGGATTAATGGATTAGTAGAAATTGGTTTTTCTCATCATACACTAGTTCACAGGTATAGAGTGATAAGGAATAGATGGACTAATAATTGCCCTAATAAATTGAAATTGTAATATTACAAATTACTCATGGGAACTAATTTTACATTTGTGTTCCTTTTAGTCAATGATTCTTGTCTCGTCAATGGGGATCCAACTGAAGCAGGAACCAAGATGCTGATGGATAATTGTTGAGGTTGATATAACTAGTCTGTAAGTACAAAAAAATTTCTACTGTAAATATGTAAGAAGCTAGTAGGAGGCCGTTCTTCCCTTGTTGTACACATATTTAGTCACATATTTGGTGCCATAATGGAAAAGATCCCCATTTTTGGAAACCTAAAATGTTTAGCAACCCAGATGTGAGATCAAAGCACCATATAGTAATAACGCCAACTTCCTATCATTTGCTGGCTGCAGCTACAAAATCTCTAACCAGATTAGGCTGAATTTTGAGTTAAAAGCTTCATGTGTACAAAATCCTTGCAGTGGTCCTAATCTGCCACTACTACATGTATGCTATTGTGTCAGTTTTCCATATCCTTTTAATATATCATATTAGACCAATAGGAATGTTTGATTATTTTCTTTTATGTTATTATCATGACTGGTGGGGCTATTAAATGATGTGACTTCCTTATATGGTCAATTAAAGATTATATTATTTATCAATTTACATTTGAAAACTTCATTATCAGGGAAGCCCTTGGATCCAAGTAAGGTTGTAGAATACTATCAATTAGCCCGCAGCAAAAAGTAGATCTCAAAAATAAATATCAAGTAAACAAGGAGACAAGAATGCCGATCAAATTAAGAATTGATCCATTGTTGTTTTTCTTGTGGTTGGGCAAAAAATCTGAGGCTTTCTTGTGAATTTATCATATGTATGATTGTGTTTTCTAGAATGATTAACTTCTTATTTATATACCATAGTTAAGTGCTCATATGATGTGTTCCAAAAGGGCTTGGCAAAGAAAACCCCTAAGCCAACTGGAGGCTCGGGGAAACAAAAAGTGTCTGTGCAGCATGATGGTTTGGCAAGAAGAAGGTGCCAGAGCAGCAAGAAGACTCTAGCAAGAAGAAATC